GCTATATAATTTTATAATTTCCTGGCCGGTGTGTCTATTCTTAGTGTTAAATAGAAACAGTGAATCTTTTCATTACGTAAATTGTCATCGGCTAAATTTTGAAAAATATTGCTGTCCTAATTCTGAAAATTCTGATGGATTTTTTCCAGTAGAAAATTTCAAGATTATATTTCATGTGATGAAAACTGTAAACTGAGGTAAATAAATTTATTTTTCTATTTAATTTGGATATATTACAAGGATAATTACCAGAGAAATATTGTTCAATTTTAATCCGCATTAGTTTTTGTTGTCTCTCACCATTAATTTTATATTCAAAAGATAATTTATTATAATACGAATGTCACTTAAAAGTTCTCGACTCAAACTCACTTCCCAAAATGTGATTAGATATTCATGTTAAGTTTTCATTAAGTAACACAGAAATTCTGACCAAATCTGATCGGAAATTTTCTAGATCATTTAAAACGAATTGAGATTTTAAATAACTTTTGTCCCGAATTCTCTCCAATATAATAATATGCATATCCAGATTAACGTTTTCACGCTAACTGCAGTTTTCTTTTTAGAGATTAAAAAAGAAGTTGAATTTATCTGAGGCATCGCTTTAAAACCAATAAATTGTTTTAGCATGTTTTCTCGGACCCTGAGGATATTAGATAAATTTACTGGTTGTTCAACTTAAGGCTCTTTCCTGTGTTTCGTGTATGTGTCGACTGAACTCAATAGGCTTCAGTTCGTGATAAAAACAGATTTAGCTAAAATGGCTGTCAAATAAGTCCCTAAGAGTCCATTCAGTAATAATAATAAATACCGTCGAAACATTAATTTTCTCTTTTTATTGTTGTTTACAGACAAGTAAATTTTAGAATTTTGACTTGATTCATTAAGCGATTTTATATTCACGAAAGGTTGTTAATCTCACTCTACATTCAGAATAAAAGTTTACAATGTTTTGGAAATATTTACTTTAATGTAATTGTCTACAACAAGAGAAAAAGAAATCATTTGGTAAACAAAGTACATTCAGTGTTATCATTCAAAAAAGGAGAAAAAATTGTAATCATTTACCATTTGCATATTCTAATATATGTGTCAATACAGAAATAACCTAAGTACAAACTAACCTTCGTAGTAGCGCGAGGATAGCGCATATTTTTCTGTAATAATATTTCTCGAATATTTAGGCCGGTAGACGAAAATAAATAAATATACTGTTTAATAAATAAACAGAGCGTCTACTGAAATATGAGTATCCACTAAAAATAAAGTTTAAAGTGATAAAAAAAAATATATGTGTGTGAGAGATTTTTTTCATTTAGACAAGTATTATTGAATATGAGACAAGGAATAAGTAAAAGAAATCTGACTTTTTACATGAGGAACTATGTTCATTTTCCTGATTCCGATTTCCACTCTAGGGGTATATTTTATATCAACACTCACCAGTTTTATTCACTTTTGAGTCGCTTGTTCTTTTCATCCACACAACCAGAACATATGATTTTTTTAAGACCCTATAATTTATATCAGAACTTTTCAAGCACTACATACGTTTTTCATCAACGCTTTAATCCATGTGTTGATTGGACAAAATCTGTTGGAATAATTTTGGCCCGAATAACAAGGCATATAATAAAGAACACTTAGTTGATTATTTTTGCATTTTCTATTATCATACGAAGGGAGGGAGGATTGGTTGATACTCTTCATAAATTATCCATCTTATCGACTATTCTAGCGTTTTCGACCATTCTCAAGAACAAAGCATAAGAATATTTATCAAAAGATGATTAGATGAATTCAAATTGACATCAGACTTGTCATTCCGTCAACGTTATAATTTAAAATTTTACACCAGAGGGCGTTACCGGTTCAGGTATCTTTAACCCTGTAAAACATCTTCTGGTTAGATTTTTAATTAATGGTTAAAGATATTCAAAACTCCATTTCTTAGATAAAAGAAAACTTATTTAATGTGTTCTTATTTTTATTATAAAAAAATTGGAGTCGTTTTTTTGCAGTTAATGTTGTATTGTATATGTTGCGAATATTATCAACTGTTAAGTAACTGTTAGTAAGAATATTATATTTGTTAAGATGTGATCTCATTGAACTTAAGTCATATTGGTAAGTTAATATCCGAGAAAGAGTTGTAGTGGTATGATCAATATAAGCATAATTTTGTTTGGTGTTAAAATCTCCTGTTGTGCATACCACCACAACATTCTAAACAATAACAATAGTTTTACTAATCTATATAATAATCTCGATAATACTCACAACTTATACAATATAAACTTCAGATAAAAGTTCCAATTTCTCGAAACTCTTATAAAAAAAAATATCAATCCTTAGTCTAGGAAATAGAGTTTTGAATATTTTCAATAATTACTAATTCCTATTACAAGGTCAAAGATACCAACAGTGTAAGCAATGGTTTGCTTTGATTTTTCCAATGATTTTTCTGATCTAAAATATTAAATCATACCAATTCAATTGAGAGAAATGACAATAAGACTTTATTTTTTGTTCCTTATCTGACAAATAGCAAAAAGGAACACAGATTAATTCCGACATCGATTTTCTTGCGATGACACCTTACAACTTTCTTCTATTTCTCTCTGTATTTTTGCACCTGAAAATGTTGCATATTAGGTTTGTTCGACTCTCAATGTGAACTTCCGAAAAAATTCGGTAGCATTATTACTGCTTTACAAGCTGAACTCGCATTAATGTGTTCTTCGTTAATGTAACACACAACTTCTTGCGTCCCTCAACAGTTGACGTCGATATATTCCAACTACAAAAATTGTCATACTATATTTCTTACGTGTACCATCGTCAATTGTTATTAATTCTTCGACCAATATCTGTTTCATCCCAAGTTCATCCCCCACCACACACACACGTGCGCGCGCTGCAGTTCTCAAACCGCCATTCTGGGAAAGTTAACAACTAATTAAAAAAAAATAATATTACCACTGATAAGACTCTTGTATGTAACTAAAAATGACAGCCTATCAGGGAGTTGAGAAGTATGAGGAATGTCTCTATGGTTTAAATTTGAATGAGTGCTACCGAAAATCTCTATGGGCTAATTGGTAAGGAAGTGGTTTCATTAAAATAGGCTTCCCAGTGAAAAATATGTGTGAATTTAGATGACAAATTATTATTTATTTCCGTTCCATGTTGCTTACAAACGGTTGTGGGTGCGACGAGTTTCAACTAAATGAAGGGATGAAAGCAAGACAGTCCTTAACCAAGACCTGCACAGCGCGTGTAACTGATCAAGGGCTGCGGGCAAACAGTTAACACGTGAAAGTTCGTTACTGGAATTGGATTAGGAAATTAATTTTTTTTAAAGAAAGTTTTACCTTTTACCGTTGGATTAACTTAATTCAAGATACTGCATTAAATATAATGTATTTATTTAAACTTGCAATATTTTATCTTTAAACAAACTTTTTCGGCGCGAAATTCACAAGTGCCATTATTAATTTTATCATATATGATAAAGTTAATATAAATTTGATATTTTACAACTATTCTTTAAAATATCCCACAAAACTTTCAATGTTTCAAAAAGTATGTGTATACAATACATAAAACCCTGATGGATAGTTCCGGGAATACTAATAGGAACCTTTACTTTAAGAAACGATGTTTTCCAAATGTTTTTACAAATGTCTACTTAATTTCTTAGGCAAAGAAATAGGAAAGACACGCCAAGTTACGTGGGCGTAACAACCTTAAATATATACAGAGCGATTCTTCCGAAAGGATTGAAGTGCTACAGATGTATCTGTTTCGTGCCGAAGGCCTTCTCTCCTCCCTTACTTTCCCCCTACTGTTGCGTTACATCTGTTAGCGGTGGTATGACCAGATTAGACAAGTTTTGACCAGCGGGCCGAGTGGAAACACTCGGGTCCCATATTAAAAAGCGACCTGATTGGGGAAAGGTAAATCTCAGGCTCCTTTCTCCCAGGGTTGAAAATAATGGGTGGGAATTGTCCATTTTTATTGGGAAGGAAGAAATCCCAACATTCTTCTGTGGGATTTTTCTATCAATTTGTGGGGATATTTAACATTCCCAATGAAAGTGTTGTTTTACTTCTGTCGAGCAATTTTATTTCTGTAAAAAGAAATGTGTCACGTTTTTGTCCGTGTTTTACTGTTTGTCTTGTAAATATTGTTTATCTGTGTTTATTAGTTGGACTATTTTCGTCGTGTGAGCCTACCCGTACAACAGCCAGCATTGTCAACCACTACCATATGGGCTTGGGCCTCTAACAATCCCAAGAATAAATTTCGAGCGCTTGTTGTCCACCATCTTGTGAGATGGTCGCAAGCAGAAGATCCGTAAAGAAGTCTATGTCCAGCGTCCATATCATGGGGCGGGGGGGGGATTGCCACAATTGGTGAATCATCGATGCGCCTAGAGGTTGGCTTTTCTATGCCTCGTTTTGACAGAGGCCTCGATTTTGGCGTGGAGTGTTAGGGACCCCTTCCCTAGTCTTACCATTATTCCTCCCATTTCTTGGACTAAGCGCTGTCATATGCCCGGGAAATCTGTCGAGTTACCTTGAGGGTCGTTCCTCGGTCTAGTGATTTTTCACGGCCTCGTAGGATATTGTATCGTGAATTAGTGGAGGGGTCGCGACGGACCCTCTTTGTGGCCAACTCGGCTTGTCGGCATTGGAGTTGCGCTCTTTCTGGTCTTGGGTGCCGGTGGCGGATATCTCAGTAACCCTGAGATTTTGCTTACCTGGCTATTGATTCGGAAGTTGTTACCTCTCAATGTCGAAGCCTTCAGATAAGGCGGGGCAGATTTTCCCGATTGTCATCGGTGTGACTTGGCTTAGATGACACAGCTGCGCACGCCTTCTACCATTGGTCATGTCATTAATGATCGCCTCTCTGACCGGAAGTGTTACTTGAAGGAAATAGAAATGACTTCCGTCTAATCGGTGAAGCACTCCTCCTTCCTGTTTTTTTTCATGTTTGCTTTCTTTCATTTCTTTTCCTTTTCGCCTCTTCCTTCTTGGAAAGACGCAGATACTCTCTCTCTCTCTCTCTCTCTCTCTCTCTCTCTCTCTCTCTCTCTCTCTCTCTCTCTCTCGCTTAAATGCAGTGAATATGTCCTTCGTTTTGTTTAGATTCGTTCTTGTTCTTATTTAAATTGTTTAAATTCGTTCTTATTAATTTATTCATTATTTTTGTATGTTAATTCTTTTAACATTTGTTCGCAGAAACAACATTATGATGACTAATGTTATCATGTTTGGTTACTTAGCAACCACATTTCGGCGTTTTTTGGGGGGTTTTTGTTTTGTTTTTTTCATCGGCACACCGCCATATTGTATTCTACATAGCAACACGGTATTGTGACTTGGAATTCCACCAATTTCTGAATTTGCGTAACGACATGCCTCTTTCAGCAATTTCTTCATTCAACACGCCACCATTTTTGGATAATACTTACCAGTCCTAAACCATTTTATTCAAATGATTTCATTTGAATAAAATTAGTTGAGATTTGTCATTCACCGATGTATTATTAATTTCAGCTTCGACGAGTTTCAACCACGAACTTTTCCTTTCATCAAATACCACATCAAACACGAAAATTTTCAGACTTACCACTTCCATATGGTTACCTTGCTCCTGTTCAGGACTATTAAATTAACCACATTTTTATGTATTTTTAATATTTCATCCCTTACCAGGTGGTGACTCCTTTCAGTTCTTACAAATCAACAAATGTACATAATTGTAATTAAGCTGTTGCTTGTTTTGCCAATAATAAAACTTTGGCCTTTTATTAAGAACTCTGCCTTTGTTGTAACTCATTTTTTGGTGCCAATATCTTTCTGTATATTCCTTATATTTTATTTACCTGGCAATCCATTCTGTGGACTGCTATAATTTGTCAAAAAAAGACAAAATCTTCAATTTTGAAAAATTATATCAGAATATTGATCCGCATGTTTTTGTCTCAGCAGTCACGTGCTATAAATGAAAAAGCAGCTATTCTTCCAATCTGTTGATTTTTTCATTGGAAGTATTCCAAGTTTTTAATTAAAATTTTTGAAAACTTGAGATTTGAATTTTACCATGTTGATATATATACAACAATTTTTTCTTTTTCAAAAAGTCAAATATCAATGTTTCAGCACTTGTTATAAATCAGTGAGACAATTTGTTATTTTAGTAACTTAAAAATTGATAAGAAAAAAATTTAAAAGTGTATATTAATGTTATGTCACTACAAAGGATTGGGACAAAACAATCTGATTCTGATATTCTTATCAGGGCATTTGATGATTTAATACATCTCAGTCATTATATAACAGACTTCAGGATGATTTTGATTTACCCAGTATGAGAGCATTGTCAGCTTTGACATCAGAAGTTTCAAAATTAGATGACTTTAAATCTCTGAAAATCAGAAAAAGTTTTTTAGTTGATGAAGTGTATGCCAAGGTTGCTCTACAATATCATACAGGTTTGGTAGAAAATTTTGAGGGATTAGCAAAAACAGTTTTAGGCATCATGGTAAAATGTTTAAATGGTGGACCAAAAATTTTACCTAAAATGATCCCAGTTTCAAAATTAGAGGCAACTTTTTTATATGAAAAATTTTATATATTGTTTATACAATAAAATGGTCAAGTAATTGCAATTGTATGTGACAATAACAGTACCCATCAATCATTTTTACCAAAAATTTGACATTGTTTTTAATAAGCCTTAGATAATTAATGTGACACGATTTAGCACTGGCAAATTAAGAGAAGTGTTAATGAATAGAATGATGGATATAACGAGAGAATGCTGGTTAATAAAAAAAAGGTTAATGATGATAGTGATGGATAGATCGTGAGAAAGATTGAAGAATTTTCTTCTCAAAAACTGTAGCTGTCATTAAAACACATGTATTATTAAATGGAAAGGATACTGCAGAAACAGTTAATTTCATTGAAAAGTTTTAAAATTTTGGAAAAGAAATATATGGTGACACTAAGAAAATGATCCACTGAAAAAGGTGATATCAGATTTAGATGATGAACATCTGTTATTTCTTTCTAATTCTGGAAAAATGACAAAAAGAATGGGAGGACAGCAAGGAAAAAGAATGAAATCATTAACAAGAGATATTAGTTTAGCCACTGAACATGCATGCAATGGCTTAAATGATGATTGTAAATAAGTAGTGGGTTTAATTTTGTTATGCTCGGTGAATTTACCACAGACTATTTAGAAAATGAATTTGGAAAATTAAGATAAAGTTCTGGAGGTGCATATTTTATAACAGTTCAAAATGTCATTGAAAAAATTCATATTGAAAAAACTAAACTACTTCTTAAATTAAATGTTGACGTCAAAGAATGCAACTTTGATCCGAAAAAATAATTGCTTAAAATGTGGACATTTGCTGGATGAAATGGGGTTCCAAACATTTGATAATTTACCAGACCTTGAAACTAGGACCCCTAAGTATATTAAAATGCTACATTTGTATATAGCAGGCTATTTTATAAGAAAAGATTGTCCCACATAATAGGAAATATTTAATAATATTAGTCTATATTTTCAAGAATATAAACATTTTTGAAAGAAATAGATTGGAGTAACTTAAAAATTCCAATGGTATCCAACTATCTTTATTTTCAATTTCCCCACTTCTTACATATATTTAATTGGTACCCTGTTAATTAATGTCGTGTACTTATTAATGTAAATTGGTTTTAATTTTTAAAACTATGTATACTGGTAATATCTGTTAGTGTATTATAGCGAAATAAATATTTCTTGATTTTCCGTGAAACAAATTGTACATGTAACAAAAATCACAATAAATTTTGTAAAGATTGTCAAAATTATTGTTTCTCTGAAATTCACATTTTTTGTAAAATCATTTTGTTGATACATAATTTTGTAAAATATTGAAATTGATGTCTGATTAAATAATTCTATTTTCTGTAATCAATTGGCATAAACAAATTAACTCATTATTTTTGCAATATCATCTAAAAATGTCTAATTTATGGTGAATAAAGTGATTTTTGTGCGTTTAGTTATTTTATAGTATTTTTGTTCTTTCTTTGTATATTTGCATTTATGAAAGCCAATAATTATAAGATGCTGCCTAATATTATATACAGTTGCTAATTAACTGGATATTACTAATAATGTTCTCAATAATTGCTATTTAGTAGTAATTTAGGTCTCTACATATCCACTCCCAGACGTGGACACCAGTCGCATGGTTGCCAGGTGTTATAAGGATCGTCTTAGATGAAAGTGATTCGTGATTCTAACTGAATGATTAATAATAATAATAATAATAAATGTCGATTTTTTTCAATTTATGACATTTCACCATTGCACTTTACATGACTAAGACCCAACTAGAAACAAATTTTTAGTTCTTTAGAACATTTAATAGTAAATGTATTTATACTCTTTATAAAATGTATTTATACTCTTGTAAAATTTCGTTTCCGTGTTAAAAACAAAAAATATTAATATAAAGTGTAAGAAAATGTTTCACTGTTACATTCGAGTGAAATCTGACGAATTTGTTTAATAAATCCTACTCGTAATAGATGTTTTGCATACATTGTTTAGATCAGGGGTTTTCTTTTTCCGCAAGGACAAGATAGGGGGTCCGTGGACAGCAACAATGGTTCAGTTAATGTTGATTTGATAATTGTAGATGTTAAACGACATTTAATATCACTTGCTGAACATTTGGACAAATATTTCTTGAAAGATGTTCCTGATAATATTGAAAATTTTGACTGGATCAGAAATCCGTTTAATGTTGAAATAGCTAATAGCATGTTCACAGGAAATGAACTGGAAGAACTGGTGGAAATTTCATGCGACAGAACTTTAAAAATCAGTTTTATGCAGCAACAACTTTTGAAATTCTGGCTCACTGTCGCCTCCGAGTAGCCATTGTTATCTTTAAAGGCAGTTAAGATTTTGTTACCGTTTGCAACAACATATTTATACGAAGCAGGATTTTCGGCACTAACCAATCTGAAAAACAAATACAGATCCAGACTTGCTCCAGAAAGTGACTTACGTGTATGTTTATCACCAAGAATTGACAGTTTGTGCAAAGCCAAGCAAGCACATCCTTCTCACTAAGTGTATATTAAAAAGTCCTGTGTGTGTAATTGTCAATAAAACTATTTGTTAAATACTATTAGTTTTCATTTACATGTAAAATTAATATTTTAATATAACAAAATTTAATTTTGTTACATTTTGCAGCAACATGCAGCATTAATTTATTTGAACATTTATGTCTAAAGGAAGCTTTAAACCAGCTTTTATTGCATTAATGCAAAATTATTTGTTATATTCAGCAAATATTTATGTATAAATTTCATAAGCGTTTATAAGGGGGTCCCTAAGGTAAAGCCTGAAATATAATGGGGTCCGCAAGTCAAAATATTTGAAAACCCCTGGTTTAGATTGTCAAGAATTGCATATTTTGACTGTTGTATATTGGAAAAAACTAAACATTTTCGACATATTCTACTTTAAGAACAATAAACACAATATATAAGGTTGGTACAGTTTATGGAGAAGATATTGTGTACGGTTGTAGTTGGCAAAAGTTGTTTGTGAAGTTTTTTAATGGGGATTTCTCGGTGCAAAATGATTCATCAGACCAACTGAATTCAGCAACTGATAAAGCGTGGCCGGAATTCTACCTTCAGATTTGCATTTATATCAGTCTTGATAAAACATTCCCCACAAAAATAAAAATAACTATCTGCAAGACTATAAAAAGAAAGATTTAAAAAATAGAAAATTTGGGTGACGGGGGGAGAATTATGAAGTCGCATAAAATAGAGTGGGAAATGATGAAACAAAACTGTAAATATCTTACGTTAATTACAAAAATTAAAATTAATATATTAAACTGAATGAACTTTCAGGCTACTACACACACGCGCGCGTGCGCATACACACACATACATATATGTGCTATATGTGTGCGTTTGTGTTATATATGTGTGTGTGTTATATATATGTGTGTATGAGACACACACACATATGTGTGTGTGTGTTTCAGATTTTATTATGTTCTACAAGCGAGAAGTGCGAGATAAGAAACTGTTAGCATAGT